CAGATGGTGGTCAGATAGAGGAAATGGAACATTGCAGAAATTAGAGGTGGTACAGAAATTGGTGAAGATGAGGTCACGAGTGTTTCCTGCTGTATGAGTTGCTGAATTAGACCATTATGTGATAAATTATGGCACTTCTTAGAGGAGTGAGTTTAAATAGGCGGAATGTGTGGACTTCAAAGTAAGGAACAGGTGGGGCAGGGGCAATGAAGATTGGTTGAAACTTACATTGAGGGAAGAGAAGGATGCCTACACCACCTCCTTTACAGTTGTTTGGTCTAGGAGTGTGGGGGAATTGTAGCCCACCATAACATAAGAAAGCAGAAGTAGTGCTATCCGAGGGGCACAGAAGTTAGTGCATGAAGTGTGAAATAATTTGAGATGAAGAGGTCATGTATGGCTGTTGATTTGATTTTGCTGCAGATGGAGCAGGTGTCAGGGTGCACACTGAATATTGGTAGATGGGAAAAGACGGCATGGTATCGGGATGAGATTTGTGTGGTTTCTGGTTGTCTTGTGTGAGCAGAGGAGGTGAAGGGCCCAGGGTTGGGAGAGACATTATCAGATTTGGAGGGCCATGTACTAAACCTACAAAGATAGGAAGATCTAGGCAGAGAGGAGGAAACTTAACCTTTATTGATAAAAAATAAAATAATGCAAACACACAAAAAATAGATAAAGATAAAAAGTATATTTTTTGTGTGTTTGCATTATTTTATTTTTTATCAATAAAGGTTAAGTTTTATTTTTAGCATTACATCAAGGATAGGGTTTCCTCTTTTGGGTTGACTTAGTGTAGGGACAAGGAGTTTCCTCCTCTCTGCCTAGATCTTCCTATCTTTGTATTTTTCCTTAAACGTATGTAAGGGTTACCCCCTTTTAGGATTCCCCTGACACACTTATAGGCTGGTTGTCTTTGGCCACTGGCTTTTTTCTCCATCTACTAAACCGCATCCTAATTTGGTGTCTGATGTAGGGGAACCCTGCATGAGGGTACCAAATTAGGGGGGACATCTACTAAATAGCTGAAAGAGGAACATTTAGAATACCCTTTTCTTAAATTTGCTCTGTCAGTTGCCTAATACACAAATTTGGAAAAAGTGTGTTGGCGCTTTGAAACACTTTACACTTTACATACACATTGTAGAACACTGTGTATGTTACAAAAGAAAGTGATTCAATAACACCTATACATCAACATAAGATATAAAGTGTAAATCATTCAAAAATTACACCCAGTGTATACTTATTATTATTTTATTATTATTTATAAAGCACTGTACATACACAAAATAGTATTATGAATGATTCCAATGATAAGGTTCAACATTTTCCATTTACAGGTGGGGGCATAAGGATGTTTTAAATGGGGACTAATATGGGAATCATATTTACCACTTTTGGGTTGTAGCTATAGATTAATTATAAAAAAAAAAGTTTTTAATGTAGTGGCTTGCCATCAAGAGTTTTTGATTATTTGCCCGCTGGCTGCTACTGAGGCCAAATAGTACTTAAATTATCATTTAGTTGCAAAAAAGTGAGTGAACAATCATTTGTGAATGTGCACCTTACCAGATGCATTTGGTTCAGAATTCTATTAAAGCTGGCGCGTGGTGTGTATTCCAAATCCCATGCTTTGTCCTGTACGAAATCCCATGATTTGTCGGATACGAAAGCACAGATTGTAATTGGGAGTCCAAATGCATCTGAGCGATTGCTGCAGATTCCCCTGGGCTGAACGAAGCGACATTAGATCATTTTAATTGATATTTAGTGAATAACCCTTTGCAAATCTGAGCATCTTGCCACTTGCTGTTTGTATAGTGCAGTGTACAGAGGAGGTACTCCCAGTTTATTTATGGTAATGGGAAAATTTGTTACAGGATGACAGTGAAGTGTACTGCATGGCCAACCCTGGGCAGATGCACAGGATACAACTCACCTAATTGCCCTGGGGCTGAAGCAAAACTTGATGCCTGGCCCAGTCTAGAGCCCCAAATGGGCCTCTGACAAGCACTGGGTCTAAAATATGTTTTTTATTATAATTGGCCCTAAGGGGCTGGGACATACTTCTGTGGCTGGGACATAACTTAATCAACAGCCCCATAAATTAATTAACTGCCAGACCCAAGGATGCCTATACAAAAACACCCCAAAAACAAAAGTTCCCTGCATGCTATCCCCAAGTATCATACAGCCCCAGAGAACTCTGGTTTCAAGGGGAAAACTGTCCAAAAATGGAGGTGTCTAGCCTGAGATATTGCTAGGTGAAGATTGACCGGGCCACGACTATTCTCTGATCTAGCGCAGAGTTCCATGATATTTGGTGGTAAGTCCTGCTTACCGATAACGGATTCCTGTGGCTCAGAAGAAGGTAGTTCCCAAAAGTACAGGGTGTTTACGTCTCTCAGGTACTCTGAAGCTCTTATTTTTGTAGCCCATGTTGTCAGCTGGTGGTTGCAGTAAATTAGGCGTTGTCTTGTTTGGTATTGCCAGGGTTAAACCTTGTTTTGTTCAGTCTTGGTGCGGAGCTGCATTGGAATGCATCCGCTCAGTCTGCTAGTCAGCCACAGCCCCCTCTGTGATTATTACGGTAAGTATGAATACATTTTCCTCTTTCCTGTCCATATCCATGGCAGCACAACAATGGGTAATACCCAAGCAAAACCAAGGGAGGGAAAAGAATACACTGACTACAAAATATTTCGTAATGCAAGTGTATTAGCAAATCTATAAGTGAAATCATACAAAAAGAAAGACATTAGTTGGATGCTGAAAGGACACTTTTACCAAACTTGTCCCATTGACTAGCTCTGACATCTATTTGATAATGTCGAATAAAGATGTTAACCGAAGACCATGTAGCTGCTCTGCAGATAAGCTCTGGAGATACTCTCGCTGCGGCTGCCCAAGAGGAGGAAAGGGACCTGGTCGAGTGAGCCTTTAGACTGCTAGGTACTGGAACCCCACTGGCACAGTAAGCCTGAATGATAGCGGAGACAATCCATCTGCTCACGGCCTCTTTAGAAGCTTGGCGACCTTTCCTAGCCCCATTCGGGATGATGAATAGCTGATCCGACGAACGCCAGACAAGAGATCTGTCAATATAGATTCTTAAACATCTTACCAAGTCCAGTGGAGAAGAACCTCCTTCTTGGGAATGTTCTTCTTGCGTCAGGGCTGGAAGCACTATGTCTTCATTAACATGAAAGGCCGTGGTTACCTTAGGGCGAAATTATGGAATGGTTCTTAGAATCACCCTGTCTCTGTGAAACACCGTGAAAGGCTCTTTGACTGATAAGGCACTGAGCTCTGAAACCCTTCTTCCTGATGCTAACGCCACCAGCAAAACTGTCTTGATGGTAAAAAGATGAGGAGAGATGGACTCCAAGGGTTCGAAGGGAGCTGACTTCATGGCTTGTAATACCAGGGGTAGATCCCATGGGGGAGCAAATGGCTTGATCGGAGGTTTACTCTTGAGGACTGCAGCAAGAAACCTGGATACATCTGGATTAAAGGCCCATTTGTGGTCAGTGAGAGCTGAAAGAGCGGAAACATATACCTTTAAGGTATTGTAGCTCAAACCCTTATCCAGACCTGTTTGTAGAAACACCAAGATGTCTTTAATAGCAGGATGGTGTATGTTAACCTGCTTGGGAGAGGCCCAGGAAGAAAAAGTGTCCCAAATTCTATAGTAGGTAGAGGAAGTGGTCCGCTTCTGAGCCTGTAACAGGGTATCTGTGACTGCAGCCAAGAAACCCTTCTCTAGAAGGCCTTCAGGTTGAGTGATGCTGGGTCTGGGTGTAGGATAGGACCCTGGTGCAGAAGAGAAGGAACTGCTGGAAGATCCCATGGAGGTTCCTGACAAAGGCTCAGAAGAAGAGGGAACCAAGGCCGGCGAGGCCAGTATGGGGCAATCAGGATCATGGAAACTGGTTCCTGCCGAATCCTTCTTAGTAGAAGAAATATGAGGGGAGACGGAGGAAATGTGTGAACTCCCATCTGCATGAAAGGGCATCCCTCTCCCAGGCCTGCGGTTCATGACCCTTCAACAAGAATCCCTGGAGCTTCTTGTTGTTGTTGGTGGCCATGATGTCTATCTGAGGAAGACCCCATTTCGTCACAATATCCTTGAAGACTTTGTCTGAGAGGCTCCACTTTCCTGGGTCTATTCTTACCCTGCTGAGGAAGTCTGCTACCGTATTCTGCACTCCTGGCAGATGAATCGCCACTATAGGTTCTTCTGTGCCCAAGACATCAGGGGAATCATCAACCTTACCATACTGCGACTTCGGGTACCTCTTTGATGATTGATATGTGCTACTACTGTAGCATTGTCTGTTCTCACCTTCACCCACTTGTGCTTTAGTAAATGCTGAAAGTGTTCCAGAGCTCTGAAAACCGCCAGAAGTTCCAGAAGGTTTGAGTGGGTCTCGTGTGCATGAAACTCCCACTTCCCCAGGGTGACCTCGTTCTGAAGGTAGGCTCCCTAACCCCAATGACTGGCATCTGTTGTTATCGTAATCCAGGGAATGTTCCCCAGGGGGAACCCTGAAAACAGAGCCTTCTTGTTCATCCACCATGTCAGGCTTAGATGGACCGGGGTGGAAATCCTGATGGGCTGGAGTAGATTCTTCCCTCTGTATTGGGAAAGAAAATTCCTCTGGAGTGCTTGTCAAGCCTATGGTTGATGACATGGATCCTAGTAGGCTCATGACTTTCTCTGCCGTGGCGACCTTGACTTTTCGTATCTCCTTCACCTTCCTGGTGAGCTTTACTCCTCTTTCTCTTGAGAGCTGAACTGTCCCCAGTGCAGTGTTGAACAGGACTCCTAGATAAAGCATGGACTGTGAAGGAAAAAGGTGACTCTTTTCTCCATTTATCTTCCAGCCGTGTTCCTGCAGGAACTGAATGAAGATCTGTCCCTGTTGCTTGAGAGTGTACCTGTCCTCTGACAGCACCAGGATGTCGTCCAGATAATGAAAAATGGCAATGCCCCTCTTTCTTAATTCTGCAATCAGGATCACCAGGATCTTTGAGAAAGTGCGAGGAGCCGTACTGAGGCCAAAGGGAAGGGCTCGGAACTGGAAGTGCCCTCCTTCAACTGCCAATCTCAGATATCTTTGATGCAGTTGAGCGATCGGAACATGGAAGTAGGCATCTTTCAGATCTACAGACATCAGCCATTGCCCTGGGAAGACTGCTTTGATGATGGACTGAAGCGACTCCATTTTGAATCTTCTTACGTTCAATCACTTGTTGAGAGTGTGAAGATCTAGAATGGGTCTCCATGCTCCTGAGGACTCCATGCTTCTGAGGAATATGTGAGAATAAAACCTGTGTGTTCTTTCCTCCTTTGGAACCTCCATAATGATGTCTTCTTGCTGTAGGGAAGAAATAAACTCCAGAAGAGCCAATCTCTTGTCTCTGTCTCCCGGCCAACTTGTAATTTGAAAACTGCGACGAGGTGGGGCATCTCTGAATTCCAGAAGATATCCTCTTTTAATAATGTCCAGCACCCACTTGTCTTTGGTAGAAGACTCCCAACCTCATTTGGAATAGAAGGAGGCGTGTTCCTACCCCTCCAGGCTGGGAGATCAACCCGTCATAAAGCTCTCGTGCTCCTGCTGAATGCAGAGCCTCTGGATCTTCCTCCCCTGACTGAAGACTGTCCCCCTCTCCAAGGCTGGGATCTTCCGTATTCTCTACCTGGTCTGTAGGATTTGAAGTCCTGAAAGGAAGATTGATCTGAAGGTCTTTTGGGTCAAAAAGATCTCTTAGGCCTACGATCTTGAGGCAAAAAAGCATTCTTGCCATCTGCCGCTTTCTTTTTTTTTTTTTTGTAAATATATTTTTATTTGCATGTTTCATGCACACAAAGAGAAAGGCAAAACATTGAGACTCGCAGGTCTTTGCTATTATCATGCAGTGTGCGTACAGAGAGAATGACGACGCATTGAGACTCGCAGGTCTCCACTAATTTAACCATGAATATAAAACTGTAAAAAATGACAAACATGTTAACTGGTCCATTTCTGTGTCTTGCTCTTCAACATTTACACTCATTCTAATATAGTTTTATACAGTTGCATGCTCTTTTGGTCTCGTAGGCCCGCGATTACGTCAGTCCCACAGGTCCCTTGTGGGTATTGCGTGTGTGTGTATGTCTCCGTTACTTGTGCCTATCTGTGAGAATGTCGCGTGACAGCCCGGGTCCTATGGTCTGCCTCTCTCATCCCCTCCCCTCTTTGGAGTGCCCTGTTTAGTTGAGGCGGTCTCCTCGTCTATGTGTCAGGGCCCCCCTTGTCATTTTTGGTGTTTTTTGGGCCTTCTAGTGTTGGTTAGCCCTTGGTACCAGCGGTAGACCCACCCATGTGTGGCTGTCTTCCCCGCTCCTCTCTGGGTTTGTGGCCTCCTGTAGCTAACTGTGTGGTGGTAGTTATGTCATATTAGTAAATTCGGGATCTGTTGTCTTCAGGATCCAATGTGTCCAAGTGTTGAGGTACACTTGGAATGTATCGTGAGCTTTGTGGTGAAGTTCCTCTAGGGATCTCAATTCTTCCATTTGTGTAAACCAGACTCTCAAAGGGGGGGTGACCTGTTTTTTCCAATACTGTGGTATGATCAATTTAGCCGTGTTCAGTATGCGGATTGTGAGTGATCTCTTATACGCCGTTCGTGGGTTTTAGTGTGGTGTAAGAGCATGACTGCTGGGTTGAATGGGACTGGGTCATCTGTAAACTTTGCCAATATTTTGTGAATCTCTGACCAGAATGGGGCTATCTGTTTGCACTCCCACCAAATGTGTAAGAGTGTGCCTCTGTCCTCCCTGCATGTGGGGGGTGGTATGGGATTCGGGCATGTAGTGACTCAGGAGTGTGGTACCAGTGTGTCAGTACTTTATATGCCGTTTCCTGTGTCCTGCTGTAGCTAGAGCAGTGATGCGTTAGGTAGCAGATTTTCTCCCATTCCGCCTTGTCAAGGGTCTGGCCCAGTGCCGACTCCCACTTCCCCATGAACCGTGGTTGGGCAATTGGTGTGAGTGTTATTAGTAGGGTGTATAGTGCGGATACCCCGTGTGCTAGTGGATTGGGTTCCAGGCATAGATTCTCGAAAGGAGTGGTGGCCCTATACAGTGCCGGTCCCTGCGGTAGGGATGTAATGTAACTCCGGATCTGTTTGTATTTGAGGTGCATCAGGAAAGTGTGTTCTTCGTTCCCCCTTAGGTCCTTTAGTGTCTTTATGCAGTCAGTGGTTTGTATGTGTCTGAGTCTGGGTAGTGGGTCCTGTATTAGGCCTTTGAACGCGTTCGGGTCCATCCCCGGCATGAACTCTGGGTTGTGTGTCAGGGGTATTAATGGTGTCGGGTATGATGTTAGGCCGTGTCTCCCTTTTGAGCGGTGCCATTCCCTCAAGGTTGCTCTCGTGTGGGGGAATGAGTCTCTTCCCCCGTATGGGCCCCAGGTGGCAGCCACGGTAGGACTTCAACCGGGACGCCCGCCTCGTGTTCCTCTACCTGCTTCCACTGTTTTTGTGTTCCCGTTTTGGTCCATTCCATGATTCTCATGAGATGGCATGCCCTACAGTATAGGTTGAAGTCTGGCAATGCCAGTCCCCCCCTGTCTTTTGGTTGTGTGAGTAGTGTGTGGCATAGCCTGGGCTTTTTCCCGTTCCAGACATATTTGATGAGGGCTGAGCGTAATGTGGTGAAGTACGCTCTAGGGACCGTTATGGGTATGGTTTGGAATAAGTAGAGAAGGCGCGGTAGGAAGTTCATCTTCACTACTTGTATCCTGCCTAACCAGGAAATGTGTGGGTATGCCCACTCCTGCATCTCCAGGCGCATCTTCTCATGCATTACTGTGAAGTTTTCTTTATAGAGATCCCCTTCCCGTTTTGTTAGCCAGATGCCTAGATATTTAATTTTATGTGTTGCCCATTGGAAGGAGTAGTGTTGGTAGGGGTTCCGCCCTGCGTTCTGGGATGTTAATGTTAAGTATAAATGATTTGGAGAGGTTTATTTTAAAATTGGAGAGTCTACTGAAGTCCTGGAATGCCTTCAGTATATTGGGGAGAGAGATTTCTGGGTTGGTTACGTAGAACAACAAGTCATCAGCATATGCTGCTGTTTTGTGGTGTGTCATCCCCGTCTGCAACCCCGTGATGTCCGGGTTGTTCCTAATGGCCACCAGCAGGGGCTCCAGAGCTAGGATGAAGAGGATCGGGGACAAGGGGCAACCCTGGCACGTGCCGTTACGTATGTCAAACGGCTCTGTCAGGGCTCCATTAACTACCACCTGCGCGGAAGGTTGCTGGTATAGCGCCTCTATCCATCCCCTGATACCTGGGCCCAGCCCGAGGTGGGTCAGGGTCTGGAAGAGGTATCTCCATCCGACCCTGTCGAAGGCCTTCTCCGCGTCCGTGGATAGCAGGAGAAGGCCTTCCGTGGCCCGCCTTTTCCCGTGTATCAGTGTGAGGGTGCATATTGTGTTGTTGCGTGCCTCCCTCCCCATCACAAATCCCACCTGGTCAGGGTGTACCAGGTTGGGCACATGCGTCTGGAGTCTGGTCGCCAGGATTTTGGCTAATAGTTTTAGGTCGTTATTTATGAGCGAGATGGGGCGGTAATTTCCGCACTGCTCCCTATCCCTGCCCTCCTTAGGAAGTATGGTAATATGCGCTGCCTGGGATTGCCTAGGGAGGTGGTGTCCCTCTTTGATGGCGTTGAATGTCAGTGTGAGAGGGGTGTATAGTATGTCTGCGTATGCCTTGTAATAGCAGAGCGGCAGGCCATCTGGGCCCGGGCTTCTGCCGGGTTTTGTTTGTTTCACAGCTGCAGCTAGTTCCTCCTGTGTTATCTCCCCATCTAGGGACTCCGCGGTGTCCCCGTCTAGGGCGGGCATCGAGTGTGCGTTCAGATATTCTGCAATGACGAAAATAAGGGAGCTAGAAAAGCACACTGACAAAAATAAGGGAGCTAGACACCCTTAACAAAAACAAACAGACACCTGAACTGCAAGGACAACTGCTCACATTGCGCAGAGACCTCACCAAAATACTCCAGTCGAGGTACCACATAGACGCGTTGCGACACAAGGCGTTTTTTGCCTTACACGGCAATAAGAGTGGCACGCTGCTGGCGCGCATGCTGACCAAACGTCGGCAACAGACATACATTGACCGGATTAGGGACGGCACAAATACACTACACAGACTGCCCCGGAAGATACAGGAAGTCATACGGGTGTACTATGAAAACCTATACGCTCTCCCAAGGCCACAGAACCACCGGGCGGACTTACGCCTAACATCTGCCGCTTTCTTAATGCAATCATCCAGGTTCTTACCAAAGAGCATGTCTCCATAGAAGGGTAAAGAGCAGAGGCTATTCTTAGATGAAGCATCTGCTGACCAGGATCTGAGCCACAAAGCCCTTCTAGCTGAGATGGAAAATGCCATGTTCCTGGCCACTGCTTTGACCATATCCACTGAGGCTTCAGTAGTGAAATCTACGGCCAGCTTAATGTCTTGTAGACTGCCCATGAGGTTAGATCTGCTTCTGCCTTCTTTGATATCCTCCTCCAAGCCTTCCAGCCAGATCTTCAAAGCTCTGGAGATCGAGGTAAGGGCTACCGCGGGGTGGAGGCCTGTGCCTGCTGCCACATATGCCCTGGACAGGTTAGAGTCCATCTTCTTATCCATGGAGTCTCTTAGAGATCCTGCATTATCCACTGGCAATGTGGTGCGCTTGGCCAGTCTTACCACCACTGCATCCACTTTAGGGGCTGACTCCCAGTGGCCTGCGTCCTTTTTGTCAAAAGGATAAAGGCGAGAAATTCTCCCCTCATTGGGAAGTTTCTTCTCTGTTTTGGACCATTCTTCCATAATGATGCCCTTAATCGCCTCATGAACCAGGAAAGTAACCCTCTTTTTTCTGAGGTCAGAAAAGTATCGACTGGATGTAGAAGGCTCTTCTCTTGAAGGTTCCTTCATGCTCAGAGACTTGCGGACCCTGGAAATTAAGTGATCCACTTCGGTTGGGTCCTTCATAGACACATCCGAAGAGTCATATTGGGAGTAGTCGGGAGGATCTGGATATCTAGGTCTTTTGTGGGCTCTGCCAGCCTCTTTAATGCCTTGGGATACAGCATTCTGAATAATTTGCATCAAATCCGGGGTGGATGATGCGGGACATCCTGCGGACTGTAGGCAATCTGAGCATAGGC